GAGTCATCCTGAACAGGATTGGCAGAACACTAGACGAAGGACAGCCATGCGAGCAAGCAGGGTTTCGAAGAGGATTCAGCACGATCGATCACATCCACACGGTAACGAAGCTCATCGAAGTATCGCGAGAGTACAAGATGCCGCTATGTCTCACGTTCATCGACTTGAAGAAAGCCTTCGACTCCGTTGAGACAGAAGCGGTTATCGAAGCCCTGGGCAACCAGGGTATTCCTACTCAGTACATCAGGATTCTTCGTGAGCTCTACAGCAACTTCACGACCAAGATCTCACCATTCTACAAGGAGATCATCATCGATGTGAAGAGAGGGGTCCGACAGGGCGACACCATCTCGCCCAAGCTCTTCAGCGCCTCTCTCGAGAACGTCATGCGTCAACTGGAATGGGAAGACATGGGAGTGAAGATCGACGGTCGGCAACTACACCATCTCCGCTTTGCTGACGACATCGTTTTGATAACACCAAACATCGAGCAAGCGGAACGAATGCTGGCTGATTTCGACTGCGCGTGTGGAAAAATCGGTCTACGGCTGAATCTAACGAAGACGATGTTCATGAGAAACGGATTGGTTTCTGATGCCCCATTCACGCTCAACGGAACGACCATCTCTGAATGCTCTAGCTATGTGTACCTAGGTCGTGAAATCAATATGATGAATGACTTAGCTCCAGAGCTGAGCAGGAGGAAGCGAGCGGCTTGGGGAGCCTTCAAGAACATCGAGGGAGTAGCGAAGAAGACGAAGAACACCTCCGTGCCCACCTCTTCGATTCCGCGGTCCTTCCTGCCTTGACGTACGCCTCAGAGACTTGGACTCTACGAAAGCAGGATGAGCATGCGGTCGGCGTTATTCAACGCGCCATCGAAAGGGCGATGCTCGGAGTTTCCCGCTACACGCAAGTGAGAGAGGGAATCCGGAGCTCCGCACTCCGCCGACGATCGAAGATCAGAGACGCCGCCGCATTTGCCAAGGTTTCGAAGATCAGGTGGGCCGGACACGTCATGCGTTTCGAGGACGACCGCTGGACCAGAGCGATCACCGACTGGATTCCACGGGATGTCAAGCGAACGCCTGGACGACCGGCGATGGTCAGACTTCTTCGTGAAAGCTCTGAACGAATGGTATGAAGTTCATCGTGTCCCTCGAGCAGAGAGAGTTCATTGGGCAACTCTTGCACGTTGCAGGGACGAATGGAGACGTTACTGGCGCCCGCTCGAGGAACTCGATGATCAACGGGAGCACAGGTGATACAGGTGATACAGTCTTCAAGTCATCGTTGCAACTGTACTTAAACTGCAATATTCCTCCAGAAGTGCAGCTGTCGCCACGTTTGACTAAGGTGTGCAGCCACGGACTCTCTATCCTCTGGGATATGAAGTGTGCTTACTGTTACTACCTGATCGAAATGAGGACAGCCTGATTCATTTTGATGTTAGTAGACTATCGGCATTTTCCCCTCTGTCATCGCGCTTCAGTAGCAATCATGGGTCTGGCGCAGTGCCAGACAGTTATTCAATTGCGGTAGCCTGCCAGTTTCCACGACTGGTGGAGAACGGGATTGCGCCCGCCAAACTTACCCCCCCCAACGCTCGTGGATACGCAGTAAACAACACTGTATTTGCATTGCGTGGCCGCTCTTATGTCTTCCAGAACGCGACATTGAAGGAGTCCTATTTTGATCAGCAGTGAAACAAGTGTGAGCGTAAGGCTAGTAAAAATCAACCTTTGGAGACAATCCGCCATGCATACAAAGAATTTTTCCAGCCACAAGTCCTGTGAACGGCATAGCGGCGAAAGCTTCCTGAAGAAAGTCATTATATACATTGTTGATAAAGTGTAATCTCATGCAAGACAACCTGGAAGCAGAGCCAGAGACGAGTACTATTATAACGTCTGTTGCACTCTTCGAAGAAACCGTACACTCGATTAATAGGAGCACATTCGTGGTTCCCTCGCAGAATAAAGAAATTACCAGGGTATTTGATCTGAAAAAGGGGTTTCATGGCCAGATAAGTGATATAATACTTTGACCATGGAGCTACAACTAGGATGATGTAGTCGTTCAAACAAGCGAACTCATGCTATGCTGGGGGTGTACTACTTAGCATCTTGTGGTTCATATTTGAACATCATATCCGCCATCTTGCCGTACATCGTGCGATAAGAAGGAAATGAATGCTACGTACAGTTTCGGGGCCTGTTCGGTATGCGGCAGGCATTTTGCCTCGTCTTAATATACCTCTAATCTCGGCAAGAGTAGACTCTTGTCAAGTGTGAACGCTCATGCCGCCGCATAGCTTTACCGGGATTCACCGGCCCTCACGAGAGGCATCGACAGTGATCGATGGAAACCAGCGAGATGCCCCCACCAAGCCGAACTGCGCCCAGTTTTGATCATTGTGGCAAGGACCAAAGTGAGATTTGTGAAGCAACTCTACAATCTTAATTGTGGCTTGATAAGCTTATCGATACTCCTGCGCGATATATTGAAGCTAACTGGTAGAACCTTGGTTTTTCTAGAGTGTATAGGTTTACCTTGTAAGAAAAAAATAAAGCTATGCATTCGAGGTTTTGATGACCACGATCTACGTAGTCTCCAAGAAAAAGATAGTTAACCATTGGTGGAAATCCACCTCGATCAAAGAGTCTTAGTACATCTAAAATAGCGTTCATTTCAATCTCAAATGTTTGTTACGACTATAGGCTCAAAGCTTTCGGCTAGTTGCCGTCAATTAAGGAACTCCGCTACAGTCACAACAGTTCGTAAACTTCTGGCATGTAGGTAAGATATCATGAAATGCCAGTGATATAAAGAATTGACATTACTCCAGTTTCAGTTACTTCAGTTCAGTTATAGAGCGAAAGACAGTGTCCAGAGCCAGTTGGGACCTTCTGAAGCTTTTCTACAAATTTCCCACCTCTCTGAACTTTTACATCACCACTTATACCTAAGTTTTTGAGAGATGCGCGGCAGTGAAATTTTCCACACTCATTCAGGCCAGATAGTCGAAGTGCTGATGATCATTGGGAGATGATTCAGCCATGGAATGGCCCTTTCGGCGTCAGCAGGATTATGAGCGACAATAGGAATGCAATGCTCATTCACCGAAGTGAAGAAGTGCCTGTCGTTCCGTTAGCTGCTCGCGTTTCGATGCGAATGGCCCGAAGAATGAGCGTAGCAGATGCGAACGTGTGGAAGAGAAATTCTTGGAAAGTAAAAACAAAGCAAGTGATCATAGCTATTTACGCGAGAAAAGTTCACCTGCATATTGACCGTGAATGTCACCGCATATCTTTATAGGGGATTGAACTTCAAGCAGTGATGCCTGATTGAGAAACACTTGCCTGTAACACTTTCATTTAGAGTCTCCATGAAAACTTATGGGCTTCCCACTTCTGATTAAAAATTATCGACTCAGATCATCATGACATTATCACATTCGAAGTGATTATACAGGGGGGGGGGCAAAAAAAGCGGTCACTTTATTTTTTTTTTTTTTTTTTTAGTCTTTCGCTTGACCTTCGAGGAGTTATAAGTTACACTTTATTGAATTCTGATCGGACAATTCTACCACCATAATCAACAGCATATTAAATACTATTATGACACTCCGCCACCGCCAGCTTTCTGGAGGAGGGCGCCGTCGAGAGATTCTGAAACGCAACCGTGATTCGGTACCTGGCTTCAGCGAGATAGCTGATTTCTCGGCCACTGCAGACCACCTTGTTGAGCTCCGCCCGAACTCGGTAATTGAGAGAGTTTAGGTCAGGGGACATACTTAAATATTCCATCATTCTTCGGGTACTCAACGCCCTTCCATTCCAAGTAGGCGAGAGTTTTTCCAATTCCATGCCCTTCGATTCCATGTGGTGGCACCCCAAACCTGGCAGCATCTAGCAAAGTTTCCAAAGGGTACGAGCGATCACATGTGGGGAAAATACTCTTCTCGAGCTGCTTGATGTAACCGCCGGCGCTCACCTTCAGTCCAGGTCCACAAAGAAAATATCGGTTTGCTTCCCTTTGGTAGTCGCGGCCCATTACCATCAACACGCGCCCTTGGCGACTACGTTGAAGAGATGTCCTAGATCGTAGCGACGTTGTCGGAGCTGCTCGATGTTGGAGGTCTTCCAGATCGAGAGTACTGGTCTCCAGGTAGCTATCCATGGGTGACTCCACACTAGAAGTTTCGCAGCTGTTTGGAGGTGAATGAATTCCAAAGGTATTCTCACCTCAAGTCTGCAGATATAAAGAGATGACTTCATATTTTGGTGTACATGAAGGTGATGGGCGAGAGCCAGCTCCTGCTTATAGAGGAACATCTTGGGTATCTTCCGCCCTGGTACTCGTATCCACGTCCTCTGTCTGGGCTGCGAAAACTTTGCTGATATGTGACTCGGTCGAAGTGACTTCCCCCCCCCCCTGTATTATCACGGGCTTACAGGGTAGGCTACGAAATTTCGTGGCCTGGCCTCGCTGACCGCATTAATCCAGCTGGGATCGTGTTCACGTCATAACATCAGCTACCATGGAAAGCAGTCATTCCAGAAGCCCGTTTTACCTTCGCGAGGAACGGAAGCGGCGTTTGAAGGCATAGGAACGATAGTTTGTTTGCCATTGGCAGAAAGTAGTTAGGGGGGGGGGGTGGTGAAAATGAAGAGAACCGGAGCGAAACTGTTGTGAACTAATGGATCTGCATGCAGCACGATGAATCAGTGTGATGAACAAGTACACAACTAATAAGAGAAGGATAGTATATCGAAGTGACCCTCCAGAATCAAATAATTGTCGAAAAAGCTTTGGATAGTGATTACGAATCCGCCTTTTGCAAACAACAATAGTTTATCCGGGTTTTCTACATCACATATGACTCTATTTCTATTGACGTTCCTGTTTACAGGGGGAGGGCAATAAAAACAGACACTTTGGCCAAGTCACATATCAGTAAAGTTTTTGCACCCCAAATAGAAGACGTAGATACGATTACCAGGGCAAAAGATACCCAAGGTGCTCCTATAAGCACGAGCGGGCTCTCGTCCCTCACCTTCATATACACCAAAATCTAAAGACATCTCCAATCGCAGCGAACTGAAAGAGGCCTATGGAATTAACGTTCACGTTCAAACAGCTGTGAAGCATCTTGTATGAGTCATGCATGGACAGCTACCTGGGGACCACCACTCTGAAATGGATGACCTCCAAACATCGAGCACAGCTCCGACAACGTCGCTATGGTCTAGGACATCATCTTCACCGCAGTCGCCGAGGCGAGGCGCTGGTTGACGGTATGGACCATCGGCTCCTGGAATGAGGAGACCGATATTATCTTCGTGGGCCCCGGACTGGAAGTGCGCGCTGACGACGCAACTCGAGAAGAATATTCTGCCTTCATGTCGTCGCCTGTACCATCTTGCAAACTTTGTACTGCTACAGTACTGGTGTGTGCGGACTCGAAGGGTGTTGGAATAATTCTCGCCTTCTTAGAATCGAAGGGCTGGAGAACCTGAAGACGGGATAAGTGTATCACCTGACCTGAGCCCCCTCAATTACCGGGTTTGGGAGGAGCTCAACAGGGTGGTTTACAGTGGCGGAGAAATCAACGATCTCGCTGAACTCTGGCACCGAATCACATTCGTGTGGCAGAATCAGAATGGCGCTCGTCCAGAAGGCTGTGGCGGAGTATCGCGATAGTGTACAATGTGTTGTTGAATATGATGGTGGAAATGTCCAATCAGAATTTAATAAAGTGTAACTTATAGCGCCTTGAAAGTCAAGGAGAAAAAAGTCTTTTTTTATTGCCCCTCCTCCTGTATGTGGTGCAGTCTGCATCATAGGAAACTCACTATCTTCGCAGCTTGAAGGAAAAACACCTTAATAAGCAGTATCCATCCTTTGATCGCGTTCCACCTTCATCGTTTCATTTTACCGTCGCTACACTCCATACCAGGGAGATGGGTGGGCGTGAAGCATATACTCCAGTTCGCTGTGACGAAGGGCGTGTCGGGCGGAATGTGTTCAGCGCGCTGCCAAACCCATTCTCACCCGGTTGCTGGAGTGAGCGAGTGACAAGACTCTCATTCTTGTCGTTCGTATCACTTCTGCCAGTGCTGTCGCATACTCGCTTCAACAACTGGTATAAAACAAGCTTGGCGCAGTGGCACCAAGCTCGTTCTATACCAGTTGTTGAAGCTCATACTGCCTGACACTCCCCTTCATCTTGACTAGCGAACTAGAGTATGTCACACTTGAACATGGCGTAGTGTGTGTTTCCCATGGGATGTCTCCATTAGACAATTCCATCATCTTTTCTTGTGCTGGACAAAGACTCAGCCACAATACGTGCATCATAAATACCCACCAGAAGCGCAGCTCACGCCATGCTAAAATGAGGAAGGTAGCCTAAATGTCTCCGGAATGAAGGCATAACGCTGTCCGCCATTGATCCCTTTGCCTTTTAGGGATTGGGATGCGGTACGCATTCTACTCATGCAGAATTGTAGTGGTATTTTTGAATACAACAACGTGCAAAGGCTATCTGGTGTGCATACACGTTGACGTGTCAGCCTTTCGGACGAAATCCGGTAACAGTTAACCTTTTGAGCATCTAACCTAAGTAAGGTAGCAAACTTGTTTGACCTGCGCTGAAACCGACGCGCGATTCATTATCCGATGTCCTGGATATGAAGTGTTTTGGCACGCTTTTGCTATTCCATTGTCTGTTGCCATCTTTACGCTCACTATCTCATTGCCGACTCGTATAACACTTGGAATTAGTGGGGTGGGGTCTTATTCAAAGCGTTTCGGCTTTTCTTGTGTTCTTCTTTAGTCTTGAGTTACTTAGCACCTTAACATTCTTAC